TCAAGGTGGCTTAAGTATATGAGCAGAGCTTAATACTCCTTTTTGACATTTAGTCAATTTTTTGGGAACCCCCGAATTCCTACTTGTCATTATACCCGTTACTCGTAGAGTAAAAGGGTATATTGTATTCATGCAAAAGTATGTAACAGGTAGAAGGAAGCGTTTCCGACCCTATAAAGTATATATATTCTTGTTCAGGATCACTAGCCGAGTCGATCTAGCCATGTCCGTCTGTCCGTCTGTCTGTCTGTCTGTCCGTATGAACGCTGAGATCTCGGAAACTATAAAAGCTAGAAGATTGGCATTTTGCATGCAGATTCTAGGAGTTCCTACGCAGCGCAAGTTTGTTTCAAAAAGGTGCCACGCCCCCTTTAACGCCCACAATCGCTTATATACGATTTTAAAAATTTTAATATTTCGGAAAAGTAGAAGAAATTTTTCAAATCGGACCATTCGTTAAAAAGTTATGCGTGATCAAAGTTTCTATCCCCATCTCCCTCGCACTCCCTTTACCTGAGTAACGGGTATCTGATAGTCGGGGCACCCGACTATAGCGTTCTCTCTTGTTTTTTATTGTGATCAGCTGCTTAAATAAAAGTGGTGCAAAATGTAAAAATTTCAGTCCGAAATAAATATGTTCAAAAATGTGATTAAGAAAACAGTTTGTGGTAGTGACAGTGGCTTAAGTCTATGAGCACCACTGTACATACGGAAATTTAATAATTTTTCGAAAAATTTTTAATTTTTAAGCGAAGTTAATTATGGAGGCTGACCACCATTTTATCCTTTCTTTCATTTTTACGGGCTTTGGATAGTTTGGAAATTTGTGACCTTAAAGTCCTCTAAATTTAAAGTTTTTATTTTAAATGATCTGTTTTACAGTTTCTTTGTTAACAAGTTTTATTTCAATTTAAAATGTGTCTATTACGTTTTTAAATGAGAATTACCTCCGATCAAAAAATGATAACGACAAAACTACAGCACCTTTTTTGGTTTTTTTGTTCTCTCATTCTTATTCTCATTTTTATGCACGAGTTCGGTCGTTCAGTCGCAGAGAGGCGCATCGATTCAAATTTAAATATATTAAAACGGGAATAACATCAATAGGTTATAGGTTACAAGTATAGGCCACGTAATGTTTGAGTTAAAAATATTTCGAGAAGTTGTGAAATAGCAGCGGCTCTTGCGTTCGGACTGCTATACCGAAAGCTTCAACATGAGTTCGCTATACCAAATCGACAAATTGGAAGAAAAGAATTATGATTCTTGGCATATTCAGATGCGCAGCGTACTGGTTCACGCGGAGCTATGGGATGTGGCGTCAGGTAGTATGTGTGCTTTTGTAGAGTTGTATTTTTAACAATTTTAACCTATCATTTTTCGTGTTTCTTGGAACAAAAGTATGTTGGATTGTGCCGGATTATAAAAACTATTAACGCAGTTTTGTTCTTGCATTTATTTACAATACGATGACATAAACCTTTTTTGCTCGTTTTTGCTCCATTTTACAAAAAAATCTTTTTGCTAAACAACATAGACCTATGTTATGGAGAAATGCTAGAGTATTGGCTGGCACATGGACGCGAAACCGAAAGCCTTTACAACTTTGTGTTGCAGCATCGAATTGGAAACTTAAAGCAAAACATAGATCCTTTGAAAAAGAGGATTAAGAACTTTGTTGCTTATGTGGATGCTGGAATAAAAAAATGCTCTTTTAATGATCTTTTAACACCACCAAATGTCGATTTCCTAAATAGTTATCCTACTACAGATAATGATGATGAAGATGACTTGGATACCTTTGAATGTAACGATACCTATTCCTTTGATTTAGATGTTGAAAGTGATTAAAAATTAATTAAGTAAATATATTATAATTTTTTAAGATGCATTATTTAGTTTGGAAGTTGAAAATTGGTAGGGCGGGAGGGGATAGAAGATTGAGGGGATATTTACTAAAGTTATTTTATATATATTTAAAATTTATTGGAAATATTGGCTATTGGCTTTACTAAAGATATTTTATATATATTTAAAATTTATTGGATATATTGGCCCAATTTTCGTGGATGTTTTGTAAATTTTTGTCCCGGGGTGCATTTCTATGGGGCGGAAAGGAAGGCGTGGCCCGATCGGCACAAAATTTTGTCCAGACTTCGCATATATAGTAACTATATAGTGTGCCAAGTTTCAAGTCTGTAGCTTCATTTTTCTAGTTTATGCAAAAATATTGGTCATTGGGACCAGTGTGCGATGAAGGGAAACTTTATGTCCGTAAGTCAAACCGTTTCTAAAGACAATTTGGTGCACTTTAACGAAAAGCACGCAAAGATTATTCAGAACGAGGAGTGTATATGCAAGTAAACAAAAATGGAAATCTATATATGTACATTCGAAGAAAATTCCAATCAGTGTTTTGCTGTTTTCTATGCCGATGGTATTTTTTGGCACATGCGATATGGCCACATTAATTATCGCAGTCTGGCTGATATTGTGAAGAAGAAAATGGTTCGTGGAATTGAAGTTTGTAATTTACCACAAAACACCTCCTCTAAAACATGCATGTTGAGCAAAATAACCGTACAACCGTTCTCACATAAATCTGAAAGCCGAGCCAGTATTGGAACTAGTTCATACAGATGTATGCGGTCCTTTTAGTATAAGATTACTGGGTGGAAATCGATATTTTCTCACGTTCATCGATGACAAGTCACGTCGCATGTTTGTTTACTTTCTGAAAGGGAAAGACGAGGTATTCTCAAAGTTCGTGGAATTTAAGGAGCTCGTGGAGAGGAAAATTGGAAAGCTTCTAAAGTGTATACGAAGCGACAACGGAAAAGAATTTGTCAGGCGGCAGTTGGCAATCCCGTACAACCCACAAGGCGATGGTGTTTCAACCGTCAAACTGGAGGCTGAGAGGGACAACTGCAGCACCGATGTAAACTCAGATGGCAAAGTCAACCCTGGGTCGCACGAATACGGCAGTTCGGACGACGAAATACTTGGCAGACGGGAAATCTTCCCAAGACAGAACGCGCTATAGGCTGCAAATGGGTTTTTACTGTGAAGAGGGATGGCAATGGCCAAGTGCAGCGATTTAAGGCACGGCTGGTAGCCAAGGGTTGCTCACAGCAGTATGGAATTGATTACTCGGATACTTTTTCACCTGTCTGTCGAATGGAGAGCTTTCGTTTCATATTTGCCCTGGCTGCACATTTAAAACTATAATTGCTCCAGAGGAAGAGAGTGGAACTGTAAATTGGATGGAGTTCTGCGTGGCATTGGTTTTAAAAACGAGCCATGTCTATACATGAATTCAAGCAAGAAATCGAAGTCTTTCGATTGTGTTGATCACGGACAGTTGCACATGTTTCTTGGAATGGAAGTTCAGCGAGAAGGCGAATTGGGCGAGATAATGCTGAGTCAAACTTTATATATTGAGAATCTGTAGAGCAGCTGCAACTCCACTGGATGAAGGATTCCAAATCACATGCGACAAAAAGGGATGCGAAAGAATCAACGAAGCGCTATCATCAAGGCCAGACATTTTACATTCAGTATCCAAATTGGCGCAGTGCAAAAAGAATCCCCATTGGACAGGAATAAAACATGTACTCAGATATTTGGCATCGACAAAAGAAGCAATGAGCCTTTGGCCGGTTACGTGGACGCTGACTGGGGAGCCGACAAAACTGATAGAAAGTCATTCACAGGATACCTATTCTATCTAGCTGGAGGACCAATATCTTGGAAATCGGAAAAACAACGCAGCGTAGCTCTCAGTAGTACAGAAGCCGAGTACATGGCTTTATCACCCGCATGCAAGGAGGCGATTTCATTGAGACGACTTATTTTGGAGATCCGTTTGCGGAGAATCTAAAACATCAAAAGTTATGCATACTGACAATTTAAGCGCTCAACAGTTGGCAAAGAATCCAGTACATCATTCAAGATCAAAACACAGAGATATCAGGTATCACTTTGTAAGAGATGTAGGGCAGATTATTTTGAAGTATCTTTCAACTAAACAGATGATTGCAGATATATTAACAAAGAACCTTCAGAAACAAAAACATTGTGAGCTTACTAAAAAGTTAAGTTTGTATTAAAATATAAAATGAGAGCTTACATTGAGGAAGGGTATTGAAACTATCGTAAAACCACTGTAACCTCTAGCCCTTAATATGTATCGATAGTTCGTTTTGCAGTCACTATAAGTATCGAAATAAAGGAATTCCGTTTATATATCCTCAACCAAGCCGGACGTCTTTTTAATATTATCAATAAAAACTTTACATCTTGATTTAAAATAGTAATAAAAACTTGAGAAAATCACTTCGAATATATTTTATCTGCACTTTATAGTTATTAAACAATTTGTTATTGTATTAAATTATACAAATTTAAAAATTATACAATTATAATCATTAAAATTTTATTTAAATAAAAAATGCAGATTTGTATATATGTTTTGATTACCTTTATAAAAATATAAAAAGTATTTTGGAAGGGGACTGCTGCTAAGAGCCATGGAGCCTGTCGATAAAAATTGTTATGTCCATTTTCGTTGTATGAAATGAGTAGTCTTGTTGTTGTATGGTTAGTGCTAGAAGTGAAAGAAAGTGCCTCTAACAAATTCATTCCAGCGCGATCACCAGAGCACTAACCAGATTAGTGACCTCTACTGTAAGACTTGGCCAAGTAACTGGAAATAAGCAGCGGAACCCCCAAGAAGACGTTCCTTCCACTATTGGGATGCCTACAAGGTAGTGGCATGTGATGATAATGTAGTAATACAAATTCAAAGTAAATTGTCAGAAAAACTATGACCTGGGAAGTGTCTCATAAATGAATTACCTTATCTTTACCAGAAGGTACGAAATCCACTTACACATTCATCTGAAAGGCCCTTTAACTTCAATTGGAGTTAAATATTAAGGACGTTATATTGTTTTGACGCTTATGATTTGGATAAAACTTATTACATTTATACTACTTACTCGATTCATTAGAACGGCTCTTCGAATTTCACGGACTCCGTCGTATACCAAACGAGATGCATCAATAAAGTCGTTTTCGTCGACATCTTTATTAGAGTTATTTGAAAGGGATCCAACTGCTGCTCCCACGCGTTGATCAAATTTCATCATAACTTAAAAAAAATCATTAAATCAATTTATTTAAGTTGTTCATTTTTTTTTAAATTTTTATGTTGACTACTTTATTAAAAACAAGAAAGAAAACAAACTTCGGCAAGCCGATGTTTATATACCCTTGCAGTTATTACAAATCGACTACATTTAATATTTATAATTTTAATTTTTATTATTCTATGTGAAACCGTAATTCCATAGTACGAGACGCGTTCGTAAAATAAGTTCCGCAAAGCTCCGTAGCCAACAGGGGCGCTGTTACGGCGACAATGGCGTGTAGGTTGATTTCCCCACTCAATTCCCGCCTTCTTCCGCTTCGCTGCGACGCTCAGTCTTGGCTCGGCAGCCATTCGTGATGGAGCTTCCACTTGCGTCTCCCGCCAGCTGTGAATGCGGTCTGTCATTCGGTTTTTGGTTGCAAAGCAAATGTCTGCCAAGGATATTCACTCCGAACTTTGTGCAGTGTACGGAGAAGACTGCATGAGTTCAGGAATGGTGCGAAGATGGGTCTGGGACTTTAAAATCGGTCGAACCAACGTCCACGATGAGCAGGGCGTCCAGAACTTTTTCGCAGCCAGGGACAGTGGGATACAAAAATTAACATTCCAGCCAATAAAATAAAAACAGGCGAAAATCGACGAACTCAGACCAATTTTGGAATGGGACGAAATTTAACGAGCGATAGATTGATCAAATAAAACAGATGGTAATGAGTCTGTCGTGATCAGTACACAAAAAGGTATTAAGGTTTTCGGGCAAGCACAAAATGGAAATCTTTGGAGCATCTTTGGTCAGTCAGCCGTGTTTGGGGGCCTTTTGGTGGGAAGTATGGAACAATACAGTTATAGCAAGGAAATATAAAATGAGAGGTGTTAGCCGCTCAGTCTAATTTTTAGATGCGACTTAAGAAGAAGTGAATCATTCAATGAGTACTTCTACATCATTTGGAAATTAAAATACGGACTATTAACGAAGAGCCATCAATCAGTTAGTATATTATTAATGGGTTTAATCAGAACGATTAACAAAAGCTTTGTTAGACATGAATTTACAATTCTACTCAAAACTTTTTAGGTCTCTGGAGAATCAGAAATCAATACAAACGTTGCAGCAACAGTACACCCTAACTCAGGGTTTATGTACAAAGGGTCTAGATGCAACTGGTGGCGAGGTCAGACCCAAAGGACCAAAATGTCATAAGTTTAGCAAAGCTAAATATTCCATTTATTATGAGAAAACAACTTGCGAAAGTGATTTAAAATAAGGGACAGTATTGACAATGCCGGGCGCGGTCACACTTAGTTCAAAATATCACTATGGTCATTTTACATTTTACTTCAGTAAACCAAAGTTTATATACCTTTGCAGATATTACAAATCGACTACATTTTTATTTCTATGCCTATATTACTAAAAACAATGAAGCTAAGTCGATTTCGCACTGCAATTTGCCATCGTTTCTGTGGCAGCTATATGATATTGTTGTCCGATTTTAGTTTAATTAAACCCGTAATTCCATAATATGTTTCTCTCCGATCGTTTCTATGGGAGCTTTATGATATAGTCGCCCGATCCGGCTCGTTCCGACTTATATACTACCTGCAATAGAAATACAACTTTTGGGACTTTTAAAACTGAGGGACTAGTTTGCGTTGAAACGACTGTCCTGGTGATGCTGAATAAGAATATATACACTTTACAGGGTCGGAAATGTCTCATTCCCTGCGTTGCAAACTTTTGACTGAAATTATAATACCCTCTGCAAGGGTATACAAATTATTGGCCACGTAATGGCAAAGATACGCACGTACTTTTTTAATTTTATGATTTAAAATAGAATATAAGTATAAGTATAAGTATGTACAATGAAGTAAAGACCGAAAACTTTTTCGAACGTTCCGATGGCAGCTATATGATATAGACGTCCGATTTTTTATATATATGTTAATAAACGACGAAGTCCTATTTATCTGTTTCTATAGGAGCTATATTATATAGTAGAACGTCGTCTTTCTGTTCTACTTTTTGCTAAGTTTTACACAAATAGCTTTAAAACCGAGGGACAGACGGACGGAGGTCGGAATGGTGCCCTTTACTTTTAACTGAAATGCAAGAGCATAAAAATATTTACTGTTTATCCAAATAATTTGCTAATAAAATCCAATTTTTTCGAGTTTTTAAGATATTAACAGTCAGTTTAAAATATAAGAAAGTTGACTTTTTACTCTCTACACGAGCGGCTTGCTTATCCAATTAAATTGATCAGCACAACAAAATGAAAATTTAATTAATTTAGATTTAATGTCAGATTTAATCAATAATTAAACCGTCGTCGCATGCAGACGTGAATTTATTGTGCTCCGGGAAAAAGTATTCAATAAAATCACAAAAGTGCAGTGACCATTTTAATAAATCTACTATAACGCGAAAATACGCTTTCTGCGATGAAATCGCGAATGCTTATATTGACTGGTCATTTAATTAATATAAAACTTAACACTTAAAACTCTAATTAACTTTACCACGAATACAATGAGTCTGAACGACTTTCGCACACAACGTCAACGTGAGCAAGACGAGAGACGGCTCTCAGTACAAAGAAATAACGCGTACTTCTCTTTTAAAGCAACCGAAAATAATGCAAGCTCTGATCAAGCGCGGGCAATTACCCCCAACTTGACCGAGTTCTTAAACATAGCGAGCGAGAGCGCGCGTTCTTGCTCCCCCTCGCTACCATCGACGTCTCTGGGGCCAAAGAGCGCTGAAAGTGCTCCAATGCAGGTATGCAATAACCTAAGCTCATCAGCAGTAACTAGCACCGCAATTTCTTTAACAACGTCAACTGTAACTACAACAACAACTGCAACCGTATCGACTGCGCGTTTAATGACATCATCAGCTAGCAGCGCAAATATTAATACGTCTGCCGCTGCGCTGCCCGAAAGACAGAACAAAACCAATGAATGTGCTAAGCCGGCTGTGCAGACTGGTATGGATCGCTAAATCCAAATCAAAAGGAAGCTGAGCCCTCTAAATTCTCAACGCAAAATAACCCGTAACAATGCTAGCCTAGCTGGAATAGAAACGCCCACGAACTCAAACCGATTTAAAATATTGGAAGAATCCACTGAAGTCGAGAAAAGGAAGCCAAAACCTCCGCCTATTTATATTCGAGAAAAAAGTTCCAATGTTCTTGTCAACAAAATTATCGAGCTTATTGGAAAGGATAACTTCCACATAATACCTCTAGTAAAGGGCAACATCCAGGAAACAAAGGTTCAAATGAAGTCTGAAGATAATTACAGAGTATTATCGAAATATCTTTCCGAGAATAAAAAGAACTTTTACACGTATCAGCTAAAAAGTAGCAAGGCCTGCAAGTCGTACTTAAGGAGTCCGACGTAACGCCTGCAGAGATAACAAAGGCGCTTCAAGAGAAGGGATTTAACGCTAAGACAGTCTTCAACATCCTTAACAGGGATAGCAAGCCGCAGCCACTCTTTAAGGTTGAGCTCGAACCAGAAAATAAGCCCCTAAAGAAATACGAAGTGCACCCCATTTACAATCTTCAGTTCCTGCTGCACCGCAGAATTACAGTTGAGGAACCGCACAAACGCAATGGCCCGGTACAATGTGCGAACTGCCAAGAATATGGCCATACAAGGTCATACTGTAAACTGCGCCCGGTGTGTGTAGTTTGTGGAGATCTTCATGACTCCGCACACTGCCCAGCGAGCAAAGATGACTGCAACTTGAAAAAGTGCGGCAACTGCGGTGGCAATCACACTGCTAACTACAGAGGCTGCCCTGTTTATAAGGAGCTGAAAAGTCGCATCCACCAGAGAGGAACTGCCGCCCGCACACAAAATAAACAGTTGACAGCTTCCAGATCAAACCCTGAAGTCTTCTTCTCGACTGCAGCCAAATCGTCACTAGTACCCTTAAACTCTGATAAAAATGTGACTTACGCAAGCCCTTTAAAATCAGGACTGGCTAACCCTGTCTCAAAAAGTTCATTTCTGCAATCAGCATACCAAGAACCGAACACGGCTAAGCAGCAACAATTCCCGGAGCAGTCAAAAGGCAACTTCGAAGATATGATATACAGCCTGCAGCAAAGCCTTACGGAATTTATGTCGTTTATGCGCACAACTATGCAAGATTTAATGCGAAACCAAAATCTATTGATTCAAATGCTGGTTTCACAACAATCCAAATAATGACTTCCCTAAGGATATCTACGTGGAACGCTAACGGCGTCTCGAGCATAACGAGCATAACGAGCATAAACTAGAGTTAGCTCAATTCCTACTCGACAACCATATCGACGTAATGCTGCTTTCAGAAACACACCTTACAAACAAATACAATTTTCAACTACGAGGTTATTCATTCTGCGGAACAAATCATCCAGATGGTAAAGCACATGGTGGGACTGGAATTCTAATCAGAAGCCGTATTAAGTACCACTATCATAACAAATTTGCTAAAAATTACCTACAGGCCACATCTATAAATATACAAACAAATACTGGCAACCAACTTACACTAGCCGCCGTATACTGCCCCCCTCGCTTCACCATAGCTGAAGATGAGTTTATGCAGTTTTTCAACTCACTAGGAGACCACTTCATAGCAGCAGGGGACTACAACGCCAAGCACACACATTGGGGATCACGTCTCGTGACTCCAAAAGGAAAACAGCTCTACAATGCAGTTATAAAAGCCAAGAACAAGCTGGACTATGTTTCTCCTGACAGACCAACATACTGGCCGGCAGACCCAAGGAAACTACCCGATTTAATAGACTTTGCAATGACCAAAAACATTCCTAAAAATCTGATAAGGGCCGAATGCCTCTCGGATCTTTCATCGGATCACTCGCCTGTCCTGTTTATTCTACTCCGACATCCAGGCGCATTGGAGCAATCGTTTTAATTGACATCTCAGAAAACCAATTGGGTTAAGTACAAGAAATACATTAGCTCACACATTGAGCTAAGTCCTCATCTCAACGATGAAGCCAACGTAGACAGATTTGTTAATACACTGGAGTCTGTACTCGTCTCTGCAGCTCGAGTTTCAACACTCCAAACTACAAGTACACAAAGCAACCAAAAGAAGACAAATCTACAAATAGAACAGGTCGTCCTCGAAAAGCGACGCTTACGTCGAGAGTGGCAATTCCACAGATCACCATCTGCTAGGCAAAGCTTAAAATATGCCTCACGTCAACTAACAAAAGCTTTACAGCAAGAAGAAGCACATGTCCACCGGCGCTACATAGAGCAATTGTCAACATCTAGTACAAAACACTCACTATGGAGAGCTCACCCTTCTCTAAGCTCACCGAAAGTAACCGTGATGCCTATTAGAAATCCCACAGGCGGCTGGGCGTGCAGCGATTCAGACAGAGCCAGCACGTTTGCCAACCACCTTAAAAATGTCTTTCAACCAAATCCTGCCACTAGTGCGTTCACCTTGCCGACTCTACCACATGAGCCTCAGCTTCAATATGAATCAATTGAGTTTCGCCCAAACGAAATCGTTAACATCATCAAAAATCAGCTGAATCCGAAAAAATCCCCGGGCTGCGACCTCATAACTCCCAAAATGATCATTGAGCTCCCATATTGCGCCGTTTGCACTATCACCCAGCTTTTTAATGCCATCGCAAAACTTGGCCACTTTCCAGTGAGATGGAAAAAGTCGATTATAATAATGATAGCAAAGCCAGGAAAAGACCACACATTTCCCACGTCGTATAGACCTATAAGCCTACTCTCATGCTTATCTAAACTCTTTGAAAAATGCGTATTGACTCGGATAAACACATACCTAAGAATCCAGGAAGGAATTCCCACACATCAATTTGGGTTTCGTGAAAAGCACGGAACAATTGAGCAGGTCAACCGGATAACATCAGAAATTCGGAACGCGTTCGAAAAACGAGAATACTGCCATATTTTTAGACGTTTCTCAAGCATTTGATAGAGTTTGGCTAGAAGGTCTAATGTACAAGATCAAGACAATGCTCCCCTACAACACCCATAAGCTTTTAGAGTCTTACCTCTACGACAGAAAATTTGCTGTTCGATGCAACACTGCTAAAACTGACGATTTCACTATTGGAGCTGGAGTTCCTCAAGGAAGCGTGCTCGGGCCAACATTATATGTCCTCTACACAGCAGACATCCCAACAAGCACACGACTAACAACATCTACGTTTGCTTATGATACAGCCATTCTCAGCCGCTCGAAATTCCCGATGCAAGCAACTGCGCAGCTCTGTCTTCATCTGGTCGATGTAGAAAAGTGGCTATCAGATTGGCGAATTAAAGTGAACGAACAAAAATGCAAGCACGTTACGTTCACCCTGAACAAGCAAAACTGCCCGCCGCTCATGTTAAACCATACTCTACTCCAGCAAGCAAACGAAGTGACATATCTAGGAGTACACCTCGACAGAAGACTCACCTGGCGCCGGCACATTGAAGCCAAAAGAACACACCTAAAGCTAAAAGCCAGTAGCCTTCATTGGCTTATCAACGCTCGGTCTCCCCTTAGTCTTGAATATAAAGTCCTGCTGTATAACTCGGTACTAAAACCTATATGGATGTACGGCTCTCAGTTATGGGGGAATGCCAGCAATAGCAATATTGACATAGTCCAGCGAGCTCAGTCGAAGATCTTGAGAACAATCACCGGGGCACCGTGGTACATTCGCAACGAAAACATACATCGCGACTTAAAAATTCTACCAGTCAAAGAAGTGATCGCAGAACAGAAGGAAAAGTACTTTACCAAGCTATCATTGCACCCTAACCACCTGGCGAGAGGTCTTACAAGGTTGATCAACCAATCACGCCTTCGTCGCAATGACTTACCCACCCAGCGACCGACTTGAGGCACGCGCAACCAGAATGCAGTCTTATTATACTGTAAGATTCGTAAACTTATTGTTAGTCTCAAAATTAAGAGAAGATTCAATAAATAAAAGCAAAGTTAATTAAAAAAAAAAAAAAAAAAAGATTTAATGTGTTGTCCAGAACAAGATATTTAATTCAATACGTTATGACAGAATACAAAAGATACAAAGGATTGCTACATATGAAGCCAGTTTCTTTACCCCATATTCCAAGAGATCACTACTTCATAAAGATACTCCATCACGGTGTGGAAAAACCATAAAGTAGCTTCGAGATGTATTTTACTCTTCCTGCAAAGCAACAAGTCATTAAATCACATACTGCATGCCGGAACTCAGTTCGTATTAACAGCGAATATTCAGAACCTAGATGACCAGTTTTATTAATTTATCCTTTGCAGCATGTGACCTTAGACATTAAATCTGTTACGTGTGTTTCAACATCTGTTCCCTTCTAAGTCACTAAATGATGGGACCATTTGTAAAACCAATAAAGAATAATTTAAAAGACTTATTTCTGTGTGGACGACTTCCTCACTGTAGCTAAAGCATTCCTGAAGCCATTTAGAGGCTTTTGCACCTTTTGTGGTAAAAGCAAAACTGTTTGTTTACAAAAACAGCCCTGTTTTAGTTCGACTACTTAAAAGATAAAAGTCTTTGATCTTTTGTGTTAGAATTGCAATAAAAATTATATTATATTCGAAATATATACATACCTTGCTCTCGAAGAACTTTAACTGCTTCTAGCACTCGCTTTGTATAAATACATGGCTCATAATTGTCCATTTCAGCTTCAACAACATTACAAACACGTGAGGAGCGGCCCTGAATAGCTCCAGCAGTTGCCCGCAAATCCCTGGCATCACCAACTTGTAAAGCCATTACACATTTATTTACATCTTCAAGAATATGGTTCTCGGATACTGCCAAAAAGTCGTCAATTGTTGTTATATCATCCACTGCTTCGGTTAAAATACGAACTTGAACCTCCCAAGCTTGCCGATATGTAGTCATATTTTCTTGAGCTACTTTAGAATTGGGTCGTACAGTCAAAATGGAGGCTGCATTTATTACTTGTGGGCAAAGACTTTCAATTTGGGCAGCAGCATATCGAACCATTTTAACACCATCTTCATTACTTGACATGCTACATACTAGATTAGCTACTTCAACTAGTTTTTCAGCGTGCTTAGTGAAAATCTCGGCTTTTTCACGAACTTTTTTTTCATTGCCTGTCTTGGCAGCTTCTATTAAATCCAGCAAAGGAGTTGTAGTCTCCAAAAATGAATCCGAAACATGATCAACAACAGCTTTTCGTAATTGTCTTCGCAGGTCTCGAGTTTTGCGACACATTTGATCAATCGCTCGAGTAAGTCCAGGGCTGTTATCTTTTTGACTCATCTAAAAAAAAAACATATAGGGAAATAGTACTTTAACGACAAGGGCATTATTTTATTGTTAAATACACACCTTCGAGTTGAAGAAAAATATATTTTTTACCGTTAAGCAAAACGATTGGTTATTAAGCATAAATTTTCTAAGAGATACAATTAATGAAAGCATCAAAAAATAAGGCACTTATTTTATTCAAAAAAATGTTTTCTGTTGGCATTCTGTCATTTCTTTCGAAACTTTTAAATTAGGTGTCATATGGAATGACCCCAATCTGTTTATTTTTTTTACTTTATTTCGTTGATCTATGTTAAAGAGTCATTGAAGAAAAGGTATCTAGATTTAGGCGGCTAAGTTTCACAAATTTTGCCCTAAACGTTTTTGTTAACATTTATGTTTGTACAGGGAATATTACTTACGTTTGACATATATTCAGACAGCAAATCTTGTAAAGCTTGTCTTACAGCATTGCATTCTGCAACAATTCTCTCTCGTCGTTCGTCTCTAGTACAGTCTGCATCCGCCATTAATGCAGCTGCACTAATGATACTCTCTAAGCGTTCTTCAAGCAATTGTCGTGAACGCTTCTCGCTATATGTCATGGGATCCATAACAATTCCTTCCTGCAGCATTCAAGAACAAAATGTGTAAAAAATTCGTATATTAATTAAGAACAAGAATGGAAGCAAACTTCGGAAAGCCGAAGTTAATATACCCTTGCAGTTGTTACAAATCCACTACATTTCGATTTCTATGCCTATATTACTAAAAACAATGAAGCTATGTCGATTTTGCGCTGCATTATACTATCGTTTCTATTGCAGCTAAATGATATTGTTGTAATTTTGATAAAACTTATTCTTTTAATAAATAGAACAACAGCAAAATAATTTATTTTTTATTTTTTTTTTTTTTTTAATTTTTTGATTTTTCTATGAAAGCTATATGATATAGATGACCGATTTAAATTCATTAAAACCGTAGTTACCAAATCTCAAAGAACAAAAAAAAATGTAAATCAACAAAGTTACATTTTTAAACATTTGTTTCCTAATTATTTCTATGGGAGTAATATGACATAGCTTCGGTCAAAATAATAGTAGTGCCCGCAGAAGTTTTCTAGAACCCGCAAAAAATAACGATATTGTACTTTAACGTTTGTGAGTAACGACACTTTTCTTACACTTCTTGAAAAAAGGTTATTTTCTCTGAGTCGTCTTATTGTTTCCAAACTTGCGGGAAAGGTTCTATTCTTGACTGTCTTGCTAACCTTTTCTCCAATATTTTGGGTCGACCACGCGTTTCATTTGCTGGCTTATTTTGTAGCATTTCTAACCATTGCAGAAGAGCAGCCAATGCACTTCGACAGAATTATTTCCAGCTGAAATAAATTTTTTTAAGTCAGGAACCTCTTCTTTAAAATGAAGTAAACCAAATTATTCTTGCTAATTGAGTCAAACAAGTGCATCTTTGTAACTGAAGGCGAAAAGAATAAAAAAAGAAACGAGAACCTAATATAACTGCACATTATTGTAGAGCAGTTAATTACAGTTACTAAAAATGAAATGAAAAATGAATGTTACTAATGGAGAAATATCTATTCGAAATGTTTATAAAGATTTCAAAAATGATTTATGCTTAAGTACAAAATATAAAATGGCTTAAACTCTCACTTATTTCTTGAAAATCATAAAATTTAAATTTTAGTTCCCAATCTGAAGAGTTATGGGTTTCCAATTGCCATTTTTTATATACCTCTCATAATAATAAATTAATCGGAGCCATTTAGCCTGTCGCTTGTTTTCAGTGCAAGAAAACCCACATTTTTTTTATAAGACAACTAAATTCAAAAAATATTTTTCTTTCATAACCTTTGAATCACCATATGAAAATGTTTCTTGGCGTTTAAACATTTTTATTATGTAGAAGTAAAAATATTTTATTTACGTTGCCTTTGCGGACACCAAGGCTTGAATTTTTCAAGGTTGATAAATCTTAAGCCAAATAATATTTTTTAACGTTTTCAATTTTTTTGTTTAATTTTAATATTTAATACTCATGCCCCTTAATATTTTTATGTTATATAATATTATATATGTTTTATCTTACACTAAACTTTAACTCTTATTATATTTTTTCTTTCATAAAATAATGCAATCTTTCAAAAAGTTAATCATTTCAGCTCCAATATCATGTAGGGAAAGCAATGACAGGGACATTTTAACGCCAGGACTCTTGACCGAAAACCAGTTTTTTTTTTTGCAAACCTTTTGTAAGTAATTCCGCAATCATTTTTATATACTATTTACAAAGTCTTCCTGATAAAATTAGTTAGTTTTTAAAAAACTGCAGTCGAAATAACATAAGTATCAATATTCTTGCTTTTCAATACGTTGACTGCGAGCGACATTATAAAATGGGCAATTGATTCTGCCTCTGCTTATGGAAAAATCAAAAGTAGACAGAGCATAGGCTAAAATCAAAAAGCGAAGAAAATCAAAGATCAGCAGCAGTCGCCGTTTTTCGTTGTTTGGCTTTCTGCTTGGCTGTTGCTTTCGATCGCAGACAAAAGTCGACGCTGAGGAAAACGTCGAATTTCGGGAATTAGCGGCAGTCAGGGTTGTGAAAATCGATGCATCAACTTGTGACGCTGCGCGCACAAAAACATGGCATGAATAAATAAAAAGACTAAAAATTAAACGAAAGAAGCATTTAATTTAAAATTCAAACTAAGAACGCGCGCGCGCAAACGATCGCGCGCGTAGGGGCACACTAGACCGAGAGAGATGGTCACACTTATACCGGCAAATCCCTCACAGGCGGCGGGCACACTAGATCTCACCGAGCCCTATATAAGGCGGACCACGGGCCATAGAAAGGGACTTAGCAGCAGACCGTCTAAGGGTATAGAGGCAACTCCCCAGTGGTGGTAAGCAGCGAAGTCATCATTTGATCCAAGTCCGAAGGTATCACTAGGAGACGGCTGATTTGGTTCACCGGCCGAACTCTCTTTCTTGCGGCTGACCTCAGGGTCCCCAAGCAGCTCTCTCTCTCTCTCTCTCTCTTGTGGCTGACCTCAGGGTCCCCAAGCAACATTCTCTCTCTATTGTGGCTGACCTCAGGGTCCCCAAGCAACATTCTCTCTCTCTTGCGGCTGACCTCAGGGTCCCCAAGCAACATTCTCTCTCTCTTGCGGCTGACTTCAGGGTCCCCAAGCACCATATTCTTATTTCAGGCTCTATTCTACCAGCAGCCGTAATCCCGTGCTGTTCCTCTCGAGCAGCTGGACGGCTCCCGGTACCAGGCATTCGAAGTGGAAGAAGGAAACGAAGGCAGCAAGGGCGCACCCCGCCAGTCCGGAGAACCCGTTAGTTAAAAATTAATCAAATGTCAAGATTGTTAATGAAATAAACCTAGTTATAATCAATTACTAAGTAATTACCCACAACTTCTACTCTGGGCTGGGTCGGAACTCTCTTTCAGCAACCACGCCTGACACAAACAAATTCTTGTGACGAACCCTAGCCATCCCTGAGCCACCCGACAATGACAAACCGCCACAAACTGGTTGCTACTTTTGATTTTTGTCGCCGCTGCTTTCAATCAGCAAGCGTAAGTCAAACAAGAAAGAAAGCACACTTAGGCAAGCAAAACTTTATATACCCTTGCAGTTATTACAAAACGACTTCATTTCCATATTATATTACTAAAAACAATCAAGCGAAGTCGATTTTGCGCTGCATTTTGCCATCGTGACCTAATTGATTCCGGGAGTCGGTAAACACCAATCTCAGCGTAGAGAGAATGCTCGTTCAATCGACACCCTTTACAAAATAAGTAAATAAATTAGAAAATAATTAGTTATGTCATTTCCAGTTACCAGGGTTGACGGTACGGCAAAACAAACATTGCTAATAGCGTATAGCTCCTGACCGGTATACTGTTTTCGTTTCCAATACGATAGCACTTCTATGTCAATACTTTGATAAGAAAGTTGGAGATTTTCAATTTTTTATATACGTCGTTGTACTGTTGATTTCCGCCCTGCGATATTTATTTACGCTTCCAACAATTCATCCTCCTCATCACAAAAGTAGTTGTCCATTTGATTAAAGCTGGAATTCGACGTTGAGCACATATTCCCAGTAGGTGTTCGCGCAAATTTGAATTTAATGAAATTGTTAAAAAACTTAGATTTTGAAGGTTGTTTAAGGCGAAGGCGGGAGCATAATAAAGTTTTCTCTCGCTCTCGGCGAATCGCCCCGTCTTCGCCAACCTTCGTTAAGCTAGGCTCTAAGTACTTTGTCGAAAAATATAGAAGTATTCGTTGAAATTGATTTGAGCCGTCGACACCTTTTCTTTCCGTTTTCGTTTTCGCAAATAATAATTTTAGCCACCGCCAAGTTTTTTCTCGGTTTTGATAATTAGAAAACTATCTAATTTTTCATGGCGCTCCCGGGTGGACGTTAAAGTTATTAATATTTGGAAACTAGTGACAGTGACACACAAAAAAAAAAAAAAAAAATATATATATATAAAGTGCAAGTGCAAGTGGAGTTCAAAGCACTCAATTACACATATACACAGTGATTTTGTTGCCCGCGGCGTGTCGGTGTGGATAGGAAATACACAGCAGCTCCTGCTTAAAATATCGTGCCGGTCGCGAAATACTCTGTTCGCCAAAAAGAACTGCTGCCAGAGGGATGCCCTGCGACTGCTCAATGTGCAAAAGGAAAGTGGAAGCTGGATTGAAAGACCCTAAAGCAGAACCTGAGGTATTTGTGCAAAAAATTGAAAGCTTGAGTTTATAAGAAAAACAATTTAATTGTTTATTGTCTTGTGCTGAAAAATTGCACCTCGCTTTCAATTCTTGGCACAGACGTATCGATATAGTAGAGCTAGTTGTGCATGCATTTATTTATAATAAATAAAAATAAAAAATTATATTAAAATTTATTATATACACATACATATACACATACACATTATAACCTATTTGAACCTCCGTTGGACGCAACATTTACATAATTGTGTTATATTATTGCAATCACTGTCGCCCCCAATTTATTTATTGAAACTCGAAAATTAATAGTTGGTAAAATCATCCCAGCCGCTATATATAACCAATACATAAGTCCTCATATACAAGCAGCTGCAGCGGTTAACTTTTTCGTTTTCCTTTTTCGCTTCGCTTGTCTGCCGTTAGCATCGTTGTAATTGTTGTTGGACTTTTGGTTTGGCGCGCTGAAGATCAAAGTGACGCGCTACCCTGCATTCGGACGGGTATACTGATTTTTGCCGTCATTTGCAACCACTGTTAATTTTGATACCTCGTGGCTCGATATTCAATTTAATATTTTTTTTTTTCGTCGTTTTCGTTGTGGATAATTATTAAAATAATTTTTTCGAACAAATTTAATAATTAAATTAAATTGTCATTACTCTTAGTATTTTGTTTCGAAAATTTATTTAACATTTTGTCGTCATTCTAATTGAACAATTATCCTCTTTTAAAACTTATTTATTTTATTAATTATTATTCTTGGATAAATAATTTATTTATATATATATTTATTTATTTCGTGGTTTATATATAAAAAATAAAAAAAAAAAAATAAATAAA